ACCTCTGGCTACTAAAACTTTAATATTCCTTAAGGCAACATTTACTGCACCTTGCTCTAGGTCATGGCAAGTCCTGAGTGTCCTGCCTACTGAGTCCAAAGGGCTCTCACACTGTGGGTTTGAGAAGACCCCAATCCCACCCTTCCTGGCCACCTTAGTGCAGAGGGGAACATTGCTTCCACTTTCGGTCTGTGTTGTAATTGCTGGTCAGTGAGCACCAACTCCGATCCAAAACATAGTGTTCTTTGGTGCATTGTTCAAAGGTTCTTTGCTTGAATGTGAACAGGAAGGTGCACTTGGGGGGATCTGCAGAGGAGGGGGCAGGAGAAGGGGCTGTGAACACAGTCTTCAGATCGTCTCTGCTGATTTTACAGAGCATCAGGGTTTTCTGCCAAGGTCTTTAAATGGCAGTGAAAATTATATAGAAAAGCAAGGATTTGAACTCAGTCCTTCCTGATACCCCAACCATGCAGCACTGTGTTCCCAACACCCCTTGTGTGCTGGCACTAAGCTCTCCCTCCTTAGCTAACTCACCAGTTGCTGTGCAGTATCGCCACCTTCCTTGGAACACGTGGTCAAGTGAGCACCAATCAAAGTCACTTCGGACCTCGGTGCAGCTGTGGTAGACGACATCACCATAGATAAATGGAATGGCGCACTCATGCAGAATAATTTCTGGCAAGAGAACACGTGTGGAGTGCAGGGCAGCCCCGGGGGAATGGACCTCAACATGCATCTGGTCATCTGCACTTGGCTGGCTCTCCCTTGCCCCGCCACCTGTTGGCCCCACTAAGTGCCTTTCCTGTGTGGTGAAAATCCGAGGGGACTGTCGAAGGAGACCTTCTTGTGCACAGAGCGGGTGCAGGGGGGCTGCTGGCTTTCTGAGGATGCCCGTCCTCCAGCGACCACACCGACTCCCTTGGCCTGACCCTGAGTCCTCCTGTCTCTGCTCTCCCCTCCCTCTCTCCTAGACAGGCGTGTCTCCTAGGCTGCCAGAGTGAGCCCCCCGCACCTCCACACTCTCCGCTTCCCCCACCGGCTTCCTACCCCAGCATTCTGCCCTGACCGCAGCAGTGACTTGGCCTGCAGCTCCCAGCCCACCTGCGCTGCAGGGGAGCCAGCTTCCTCAGTGACACCTGCTGCTGACCTGCTGAGGCCCCCGTTCTAAGTGCAAGAAATCGCATGCAATGGTTGATGTTCTCACCAGATTAAGAACCTGAGGCGTATGTGGGCTGAAGGATAGGAAAACTATCTTGATTCAATCATACCAAAATGTGAGCTGTATCAAAACATCACATGCTTCTCCATGAACATATAAACGTATTACTTGCCCACTGAAAGGAAAGTAAAAAGAAAGAGCCCCTCTCCCATTCAGTTGCTGGTGTCACTTTCAATGGAGAAGAGAACACTTTTCTGGAAGCTTAGGAGAATAGATTTGGATGGGCAACTGATGGGCATGTTCAACCATCTGACGTGGCTGTTCTGACCTGGGACAGACTTTCCTGTGAGGAAAATGACACAGGAAATGGTGAGGTCACAGCAAAGGGCAAGCTACTTTTGGGAATCTAATGATGTTAAAAGGATGGAAATAATATCTGAGGTACTGAAAAATAGAGGTGGTCTCCCTACCTTTAATTGGAAGATTTAAATGGGAAATCAAATCTGAACGAGAAAAAAAAAGGTGAAATTTAGACCACATAACGTTCTCCTTTCCCAGAATAACAGCTGTTTAATGCAGCCTGATGTTCCCGTATCTGACTGTTTTCCCGAGGTAGGAACATCTACAATACTCCATTCGGGGATGACTGTAAGCATTTCCAACTGGGGATCCTGCTTCTCCCCACGGAAGCCCCTTCATACAGTTATGAGCTGGGTGTCTCCACAGTCCTCCTTTGTGTGAGAGAAAATGTGGCTCATCCAATGTCCCTTTGCTGGAACCCAGTAGTTCTGCCACAATAAATACCAGTCAGCGAGACACTCTCCAAAGAATGGGTGACATCAGTGAGGAACCAGGAGAGCACTGCCACACACGTGCCATGGGGACCGGTGGGCATATGTGAAGATCTGGAGCCAGGGGCGGGTATTAGAGACAGTCAGGGGACGGCTGCAGCACGCGGTCTGGAGTGGGGCTCCTCAGCTGGACTCACAGAGCGTGGTGCTGGTGCAGGGTGGGCACACAGCAGCACTGGCAGCGGTGCTGTCTGAAGCCTGTTTTCCTGTGCGCTGGTGTGCAGTGACCTTTGTGAAGTTCATGATTCTGGCAGAGGCTTTCATTATGGTTGGTGTTACCAGGGAACCTGCCTTCACAGCATCCGGGGGTTACTCACTTATTGTATTTCTGATTTTGTTGGAATTCACACGAGTGACTTTATTTTGATCCTGACAGCAAAATGAATCTTCTTTTATTTTTCCCCATTTTTTTGACTCATGATAATGATAAAGAATACTGGGGTTCACTGTGCCCATACACGACTTCATCAAGGTCATTCCCCAGTCCCCTTGCTTTCCCATCCTCTGGCCCCCTGGTCTGATTCCTTTACTTTTGGGTCTCCCTCTCATTTTCATGAGATTCCCCCATTTTATTCCCTTCTTTCTCTCCAGCTTCTGCATATGAGAGGAACATGTGACCTGCCTGTCCGAGACAGGCTTATTTTACTTAACATAATTGTCTCCAGTATCTTCCATCTTCCTTCAATGACGTGATTTTGCTCACCTTCATGGCTGAATAAAACTCCATGGTGTATATAGACTACATTTTCCCTCTACATCATCTGTTGACGCACGCCTGGGCTGCTTTTCTAACTTAGGTAAGGTGAATCTTGGTGCTATAAACATAGCTCTGCATTCCTTGCTGTAGCATGCTGACTTCACTTCTTTTGGATAAATACCAAGGAATGGGATAGCTGTGTCATGTGGCATTTCTGTTACCTTTCACCCCGTCATCCCCCCTCAAGCAAGCCCTGTAATTCTTCTGAAAGCTACAGATTCAGCAGGTGAATTCACAAGCACATGTGTTAACTAGTTTTTACTCTATATTCTACATGAAGGAAAACTTATTCCACATACTGGACTGTATTTTTGAACTTGCTTCTTTACCAACATATCTAGGCGAACTTTCCAGAACAACACTAAATTGTTTCCCTAGAAGATTTTAGTACTATATAGATGAGAATTTTGAGGCTCAATAAAGGCAAAGAAATGTGTTCTGAGATCATCCAACCAGGAAGTACCAGGAGCTGGAACAAGGCTCTTCAGAGCTTCCCTTGTCACCAGCTGCCACCCAGCATTGAAAGGTAAAGTTTCTGTGGACAATTGATTTTGCTCTTGCTCTTGACTGTCCCCTCACCCCTCACCAGCCTCTCCCCGTCACCTGCATCCAGGCCACACATGCAGACAGCCAGCAGCACCCAGACCACCAGGTGCCTCATCGCCTCTGATAGCCCTCAGAGGACATGCACCTGGGCGAGCCTCACCTCCGAGTTTATACTCTGCCTTTCTGCTCCTCCTCCTCTGGTCACTCTCACCCCTACCCTGCCACATTTTCTTCCTTGTCCTGAATCTCAGGGTGCTTAAAAATCAGGAACCACCCACATTAGGCTATTCTAGAGCTGCATCCTGAAAGCTGATCCCTGGAGCAGCACTGTCACCCTGGGTGGGGAGGGATGTTAACAATGCAGAGCCTCAGCCCCTCCTTGCACCTGCTGAACCTGGTGGAGCAGCCTGGGTTCAGCAAGCCCTCCAGGGGTCTGCTGTTGGCTTAAGTTGGAAACCACTGTTTTAGAGGGTGCTACTACGTCCACATTCCTTCCTTTCATTTTCTCCCTTGATGATTCCTACTTTTAAAAAATGATAGCCTACACCTGTAATCCCAGCAGCTCAGGAGGCTGAGGCAGGAGGATCAGGAGTTCAAAGCCAGCCTCAGCAACTCAGTGAGACCTGTCTCCAAAGAAAATACAAAATAGGGCTGGGGATGTGCCTCAGTGGTCGAGTGCCTCTGAGTTTAGTCCCCGGTACCCCACCCCCCAAATGTTGTGTTGGGTGTTTTAATTGTACACAGCAGGGGGTCCAACCTAATGTGTTTGGACCTGTATACATGGGATCCAGCACCCCCCTTCCCTTCCCTTCCCTTCCCCCGGGGATCCCTCCTGAATCCCACTCCTTTGCTCTACTCCTTTCCCTTCCATTCCCATGATATTCCTTTTTAAAAAATTCCTGTTTGTTCTCTTTAGCTTTTGCATATGAAGGAAAATCACCCCCGTGACTCCTGGCCTGGCCATTTTTCCGGGTGCTGTCCTTTGTTCCTTCTGTTCACCAGCACATGCCATCCTTTCTCTCTTCTTAAGGCTGGGTAAAACTCCACTGTTCTGGTGTAGATAGGAGGTGACCCCCAGAGGCTGGTGTGTGAGGCAGCGCGAGAGTGTCCAGCCTTTGCATGACCAGGCGTCCATCCTGTGATGGGATTTCCTCTTTCCTCTTCCTTGCCCTCTGCCATGATGTCTGCCTCCCCTCTGGCCCAGAGGAACAGAATCAGCCATCTATGGACCGAGACTTCTGAAACTGCGAACCTCAAATACACTCCCCCCCATAATTTGTCAGGATCAAGTTTTCTTTCCCACTCATCTGCTGACAGACTCCCGGGCTGTTCCCAACTCGGCTGTTGGGCGTGGAACACTGTAGCACGTTGAACAAATGCCAAGGAGTGGGCTCCCTGGGTCGGTTCCATTCCTAGTGCTTTGAGGAATCTCCTTAGCACCAGGTACTCTGCGGGGTGCCAGCCCTCATTTCTCAACATTGGGATCCTGGATGTAGTCAACATTCAGCCTTAACTCCTGACAGACCCCTAGATGAGACGACTTGCTCACACCCTCACAACACACCTACGAGACAAGCATGACCCCTCAGACCCCAAGCCTTCAGTGTGGACACCTAAGACACGAGGATGACCTTGTAAGGGAAAAGCCATCGCTATTTAACAGCAGAAAACAAATTTGACAGCACTGTAAGATTTCTAGTTTTCTGTAGCCTTCTGGACATTTGTAATATCACAAAGAGTTTTTAAAAACCCGAGTGTGCCAGGAGGTGAATAGGGAACCTGGTACCTTTGAACAAGCAGGTGGTTAAAGAAGCAAAGTTCTGTGAAAGCACAACGAAAGAGAATACACAAAGAAAAAGAAATGGAGGTGACCTTGGCGGCCAGGGACATTTTCAAGGGGAAGCGCGGCAGCCACAACGAGGCTGTGGGTCTATAGGGTTTTAGCAGAGTCAGGTCTTTGGGAGGAGGTAGCTACTCTTGATGGGCTTTGGGTGGGCAGGGGGATGTGGGCTGAGTCATAGCAGGAGATTTTTTAGCTGCAGCAGGAGGGAGTCCTTGAGCAACCAGAGGAAGGATGATAGATAAGGGACAATGTGAGGGTTCAGAGTCCCCAGTTTCCTTTTTCCCTGGAGGGCTGTGAGTTTCCACCTCTTTAATTTGATAACTCGAGCCATAGGATTTATGCCACGAACCCCCATGAGGTACAGGTGCAGGGACAGGAGATGAAGCAGGGAACCAGGTGAGATCCGGAAGTTTCAGACATTATTCCCAGGGGAACAGCCCCCCAGGAAAACCTTTCATCTTCTCCTGGTACAGCTTATCAAAGGCTTCGGCTTGGGCCACCGTGAAGTGATTCTTCCAGTCCCCACAGGTGCCTGGCAAACACAAAGCAGAGACTCAGATGAGAGCTACCCACAGGTCTGACCCCAGCACATCTCCCTGATGTGTCTTGCCATCACCTGGGAAGGACACTGGGGTAACAGCAGAGCGTCCAGGGCTCACCGGGGAGCCACCTGCCATCACACCCTTTCATACTTTACCCACCTGGAAATGATTTCCTGCCTTCCCTCTCGTCTCTCCTGGCCCAGCCCACACACTATGTGCCCTTAATGATGGCGGCCACATCTTCTGAAACATCTGGAACCTCTCTGCTTCTCACTTCTGCCATTTCCACCACCTTTGGCCAAGCCCACGGCATTTCCGACCTGGATGACCGCAGTAGATTGTGAGAGGTCCCTGGGCTCTGACTGCTCACCTTTGCGAGTTCTCCCCAGCACGGCAGCCACTGTGATCTCTCCCCAGGTCCAGGGATCCAGCCCCTTCCTGCTCCATCTCCCCCAACCTGGGTGTGACTCTAGGTGACGGGTCCCTTGTGGTTTCCCTCGCCGTCCCTTGTGACTCTCCACTTGCCTGTCACCTGGTTCTCTGGCTCAGCCTCACATGTGACAGGCTTCCCTCTCCTGAACCGCATGTCTCCTCCCTCCTCCTCGGGGCTCTCCTAGCAGAGACTCACGTCTCGTCATCCCATCCGTTGGCCTCATTCAAGTCTCGACTCCAAGGCAACCTTCCAAGTGAGGTCTCTCATCACCAGTTTAGAGTCGTTCGTCTCCATCCTTATTTACTCACAGCAGTGATCAAGATGGACCTGCTCTGCGTTTTTCTCGTTTGTGCATATGGTATGGATTTCTAACATATCAGGAAATCAACATTCTTAAAAAAATGCCTAAGACTTCGTGTTTCAAAGAGTGCAGACATATTGTATATACTCAATAAATAATGACTGAAGGGATTTATGGAAAAACAAGGAGTGTACTAACAATGTGGCCATTTTACAGGTGAGAAAAGAAAGTCCTGGGTGGGCAGCCCAGCGAGAAAGCGATGGTCGCAGAAACTACGTCCCCCATGTTGATGGGGAAGTCCTGAGCACAGCATTATTTTACGTATCCCATAAGTTAATTTGGAAGTGGTAGGGCAACATGTTAGTTAAATTAGTGTGACCTTTAGACTGCACACTAGTCTATTAATTGATATAGATCATGTAAATACAAACAGCATAACTCAACTCGAATGGATATGAATAACAGGGCAGAGGTCTGGTATGTACCTGGTATCCTGTAGATGTTACTCTCGTGTTCATCGTTATCTTCATGGTTAGAATAGTTGTTTTTTTTAGTGGTCAATGGACTTTATTTTATTTATTCACTGCGGTGCTGAGAATGGAACCCAGTGCCTCCCACGTGCTAGGCAAGCGCTCTAGAGCCCCAGCTCCAGCCTTAGGAGAGTTTTTGTGGATTTTCTCTGCTCATGTGCTGCCCAGAACATGACTGGCTACTGGTGATCCAGAACGAGGCCCTCCTTCCTAGAATTTTGGTAAATATAGTATGTATGGCTTCCCACCCTGAAACGGCAGGCCCCAGGACTTCACCACAAGGTGACTGCGGGGCGTGACTCCACCCTGGCTTGTACCTGTGAACGCTTTGCCACGATAGACCTTGTGAGGAAACAGGGTGAAGGAAAGTTCCAAGCCACACGTGCTGCACACAGCCGGTGCTTATCTCAGTGCTGCAAACAGAACCTTCCAGGAAAGCTCTGATCCAGGAGGGAAGTTGGACATCAGCGGGGGAAGCACCTGCGTGTTGTGGTGAGGCTCCTGCTCGCTGGACGCAGGGCGCCTGCTGATCCCGGAGCAGGATGAGGAGTGGGCTGCTGGGGCCGGCTGCTCGGGGTCTGCTCACTGGTGGTTGGACGACTCCGCGGGTTACTTTTCCTTCGTCTCACTGTGCTGGTCAGTCAGAGGAGAACCCCGTATTTCTCCTCCTGTGCCCCACGTGTCTGACCAATGCTAATTTGAAATCCTGCGTATCCTGCAGGTATCAATTTCTGTTTTTCCTCAATCCTCAGCGGTCAGAAGTCTTACTCCAAATTCTTGGGCGAGGGCTGCCATAGCCACAGGGTGGGGTGCTCCTCAAAGAGTGGAGGCTGGAAGTCTGGACGAAGGTTCTGGAAGCTTCCTTCTGAGGGTTTCTGGGAGGATTTGTTCCAGGCCTTTCTTCTTGCTGGGGAGATGGTTGTCTTCTTCCTGGGTCTTCAGATTGACCTCCTTCCATGTCTCTGTCTAAATGTCCTCTTTTGCAGGCACGAGTCACAGTGGCCCGTGGCCAGTGTAATGGCCTCCTTTTGACCCAGACACCTGGGAAAGGCCCTGTCTCCAGAGGCAACCGCGTTCTGAGGTCCTGGGGGCCGGAGCCGACACTGACTGTGATGTGACAATGGTGTGATGTTTTCAGGAAACCCACTGAGCTCAGGGTCTCTTTATCGTGTTTACTCTTCTGTGTTAATGACTTGAGAGATTTTGATATTCTGATCAAGGGAAGTTTGGATGTTATAATGCGGTGGGTAAAGTGTCTCTACCCATGCTGGTGACTGCACTTTAACTTAAAAAGTCAGCGTATGCTTTGATTAATATGTCTTTCTGTTGATTTAGCAAAAATCGTTGTAAAGTGCCTATTCTGTGATGTGTAATAACCAGAGACAGGAATGTGCAGAAATATCCAATAATACAGTGGTTCCAGGGCTGACAGTAATAACTAGAGGTAATAATAACCAGGATTGCCTGGGGAAAATACGACAGCTGAGGTGTGGAAGTGCCACCGAAGCCAGAGGGTGACGACCTTGGCCGCTGGGAGGCACCTTGGGTGGAGCCTGGAGGATGTGGATCTGGTGGGAGGGATGGGCCATTGGGCAGGCCCTGAGGGCCACATGGGTCCCTGTGGCTCTGGTCTCCCTCTCTGTCCACTCAGACCACCAGGAGCGGAGCAGCCCCCAGCCCCAAACAAACCCTTCCTCCTGGAAAGTCTCAGGTCCTTGGTGGCCCATGCCAAGCTGACTAATGGGACAATGGTGGCTCCTGTCTACCAGGGTATCAGCACCAGGGGAGATTCTCTGGGGCTGGGCTTGGGGTTGTGGTAGGTGTGGGAGGTCCGGGAGGGCAGCAGCTCTCTCTGCTGTCACAGTGGCCCGCCCAGGCAGGACGCAATGCCGCCTGCCCCTCCCAGGCCCTCTCAGCTTCCCCCAAGCGCCTGGGCGCCAGGAGTCAGGGTTGGTGGCGCAGTCCCCTCTGGTGAGTGGGCACGGCCTCCAGTCCTCCCGCATTCCCAGGTCAGAGCCCTTCCTTTTACCTTTTCTTGTAACTAAGAACCCGGTGTTCATGAGCTCCTCAGGAAGGACAGCAAAGTTGGACATCTTGTTTTGTTTCATGACTTGGAAGGAGCTGTTCTTGAGGACGGAGTCCAGTTCTTCTGGACTCAGCTTCTTCCCCAGGAACTGACAGATCCTCTCTATGGTGCTTCTTGGGTTCTAAGGGGAAAAAACCCCGTGTGAGGATGGGAAAGAGCGAGACAAAAGCGAGAAGGAGAGGAGGGGCTGTAGAACGAGGAGACAGAGAAGCAGGAAGAAAGAGAGGACCATGATCTGGAAGTGAGCAAGGACCAGGTGGAGTGGGTCAGCCTGAGGTCCCAGAGTCTCTGGAGGCTGAGGCCAGAGGATCACAGGTTGGAGGCCAGCCACACCTTGATAAAATCCTACGCAACTCAGTGAGATCCTGTCTCAAAATAAAATATAAAAAAGGGCTGGGGATGTGGCTCAGGGGTTAAGTGCCACTGGGTTCAATCCCCAGTACCCCACACCCCCACCAAAAAAATCCTTCAAAAAACAGAAGTGAGGGCTGGGGTTGTGGCTCAGAGGTGGAGCGCTCGCCTGTCATCCATGAGGCACTGGGTTCGATCCTCAGCACCACATAAAAGTAAAATGAAGACATTGTGTCCACCTATAACTAAAAATAATAAACATTATAAAAGAAAAACAGACGTGAAAGAGGATTGAGTTGGATATAAGAAGAAAAAAAAAGGAAAGAGGCCAAGCAGAGCGGGCATGAGGGATGTGTAGGAGGTGAGGTGAGGACAGACGTGGGTTTCCTTTTTTATTTTTTTTATTTTGACACCTCCAAGACAGGGCCTGGGGTTTCTTCTCTATATCTAGCAGTTTTATTGGAACACAGCTTTGTATATTTATGTGTTCATTGTGCTACTGGGGACTGAACCAGGGGTGGTTTCCCAGTGGGCTGCATCCCATTTATGTTTTTATTTATTTTTTTCAATTTTGAGACAGGGTCTTGCCAAGTTGCTGAGGCTGGCCTTGAACTTGTGATCCTCCTGCCTTGGCCTCCCGAGTCACTGGGATCACAGGTGTGCACAACGACACCCAGCTTGAGGAAAGGGATTTTTATAACAAGAAATGATGTGCTTGGGATGGACGACCTTCTTCTCAGGACTACCGTGCTTTTATTATCATTTTTGTTCCATGGGCCCCAGTTACCATCTAACAAGAAGGTGCGTGGCTGTGGCAGTGACTCACAAGTTCTCTCTGAGTTGGGGGAGAAGTGCAGGGGGGCGGGGGCTTGCTCTGGAGCTGGGGCCAAGGCTTCCTGGCCCAGGAGGGCCCTGCAGCAGGCCCTGTGGCAGGCGGGGTGTCTCAGGGGAGGGGAACACCTGTGTCTCTGCCTCCCTCTTTTGTCTGTTTCCACTAAAGGTCAAGTTCTTTTCCAATGGTCCAGTCGCTATTAGGGTTGTATTTTTTCATACTTTCTTTAAAAATTCCAAAAATCAGAAAATTTTGAAATTTCTAATTCACATTAATCCCATTCATAATTAATTGACTCCCACAGAGCAACTGCACGTATCTACGAAGTCCCTACAATGTGCCACGACCAGAACCAGGGCCCCGGCATGTCTACACCTCAGACTAGGTCACCAGTCCGTGTGGGCGCCTTCAACTTCCTATTAGCTGATTGGAAAGGCCTGAGCCCTCGTTGCCCCTCGTTGTCCCCTGGGCTGCGGGACAGCAGGCTCTGGTTCTGCTCTCCAAGGAGCCCCAGTCCCTCCTTCCAGTTTTGAGCACCCGTGGTACCTTTGGCACGTCTAGTTCTGGGCGTGTCCAATGCTTATTGACACTGAGCCCCGACTCTGTCCTGTCTCAGGCAGCAGAGATGACGGACAGTTGGACAGCTGGACACACCTCGGGGAGGAAACCGTTCCCACCCGCCCCTCTCAACACTGGGTCCTCAGCAGCATTGTACCTCGTGCTCCCAGGAAAACCTGAACCCCATGGGGTGCAGGCCAGGCACAGGAGGGCCCTGTGGATGGTGCAAGAGGAAGTGAACTGGAAGACGTGGGGAGGGAGCCGGAGCTTGGGGAGGGTCAAACAGAGCAGGGCGATGGAGGCCCAGGGCTCATCTCACTCTTGTGACCCCTGAGAGGCTCTGCTTGGACAGGGAGCGTGGAGGGGAGAAACTGAGGACCAGGGACGTCAGGGGGAGTGAGGATGTTGGGGCGCGGGCAGGCGCTGGCCATAATGGGGCTCACCTTCTGCAGTTCCTCATAACTCAGCAGCAGGACGTTCTCCCTGTGTCTCACGGACATCCAGCCACGAATGTGCTCAAACCATGATCCATAGGGCACTGCGGGGAGGGCACAGGGGGGCAGGTCACACACTCCAGGAGAGCAGAGAAGCTACACTCCCCCCCTAGCCCCTGCCAGGCTGGTTAGGATACAGCTCACAGATGACACGCCTATGTACTTACAGCGTCCAGGGTTTCCTCTCTTACCAAGGTCACCACTCCCTCTACGTCTACCTTCCTCAGTGGCTCTGACAAAGATTAGCCTCAGGGAGGTCTCTAACAGTGGGATTAGCTCTTGAGTCTCCACTGCCCTACACACATACACACACACACACACATGCATGCACACACACATGAACATACATGCAAGCACACATAGGCACACATGCATACACACGCACAAACACACATGCATGCCCACACTAACATGCACACACACACATGCACACACATGTATGCACACAGACATGCATAGGCACACACGCACAAGCACACACAGGCACACATGAACAGGCACACACACAGGCACACACGCACATGCACACACACACATGAACACACATGCATGCACACACAGGTGCGCACACACATGCACACATATGTATGAACACACATGCCTGCACACATACACATGCGCACACGCACATGCACACACATGCCTGCACACATACATGCATGCACACAGTGAAATGTTGGGATCCAGATGATTGGCCTAGTCTTCACCTTGCCCGCCCATGGTTGGCCATCGCTGGTGGCTAGGCAGCCTCGTGGCTTGTGCCACGGGAAGGACCATGCACAAGAGGGGAAGCCACCTCTCCTCCAGGACCAGAGGGAGCTTGGAGGGCGGCTCTCTCCAGGAGCATCCCGATTCCTCCTGAGGGCAGGGCCTCTCCCACTGTCACCTCTGACAGGTTCCTGCCCCTCCCAATGTTGTCACCCTGGTGCTAAGCTCATGACACATGGCCGCTGGGGGACATTTCAGCCATATCCAAACCACAGCGTTCTGCCCTGGGCCTCAAGGCTTGCCTGTCCACCCCACAGGCCTGAAGTCCCAATGGTCCAGCACACTCAAGAGTTCAAGTTCAAGGCTTCATCTAAGACTCAGGCCAACGTCTTTCAGGTGTGAACTCCGTTTCCCTGCTTCTGGCGTCCCTGGCTTGCTTCCTGTGGCTCCTGTGGTGACAGAGGTCACAGAATGACAGGAGCAGACCCCTGGGGCCTCTCTCAGCAGTGGAGGTGGGGTCTGGAATTTGGTGGCCTCAGAAACAAAGCTTTTTCAGGGCCACAGAACATCTCTCCCTTCTGCTGGTGGCACCCAGGAGGAAGGAACAGTGTCAGCCTGCCCCAGAGGCCACCAAATTGGGAATCGAGTGGGTAAATCTGCATAAATATGGGGTAGACGCCTCAGTGGTTTTACTATATTTACTCTGAGCTCCCGGTTGGTGCTATGTTCTGAATGTGGATTGATGCCCCAAACTCAGACAGGAGTCTAATCCTGGAAGTTAAACTCAGGGTATTAAGAGGGACAAGTGCAGCTGGCCGTGTACAAAGGCGTGACCTTGGGAAGTGATCTGTTTAGGTCACTAGAGTCATGGGTCCTGATGGATCCCTGTGGCTTTTCAACCCCCCCTTCTTCATTTTTATGGCACTGGGGATTGAACCGTGGGTCACTCTACCACTGAGCTTCACCCCAGTCCTTTTTATTGAGACAGGGTCTGGCTAAGTTGCTGAGGCTGGCCTCTAACTGGGGATCCTCCTGCCTCGTCCTCCCAGGTAGCTGGGATTACAGACATGCACCACAGTGCCCAGCCTCTTATGGCTTTGTAAGGAGGGGAAGAGAGAGCACACAGAGATACAGGAGCACTCTCCTCAGGATGAGAGGCAGCCCAGGGGCCCCTCACCAGTGCCTATGCCATGGTCTTTGGATATTGTACTTCTGGAACTGTGAGCCCACATAAACCCTTTTCATTTTAAAGTAGTCTGCCTTGGGGATTTTGATACAGTAATGAAAAGCTGACTAATACAACTGGATAAGCAAGAAAGAGGCCTGTGCAGGAGTTCAAGGGAGATGGGGGCAAGGGTGGGGTTGCAGGTGATGGCATCATCACCCACCACCACTGATTCCATTTTGTAAGATTCCTGGGGACCTCTGAAGCACAATCCAGACTTTTCTAGACACCAATGGCAGGATCAAATACACCACTAGTGAGGGGGGCTCCCTGATGTCCATCATGTGGCTTCACTGCCCCCTTCTTCTGAAGGGGAGGCTGGGCGAGGCAGAAAGGAGGCCTGAAGCCTTCAGCTGGGGGCCGCGCTGCTCAGACAGCACTTTATGCTGAGGACGGGGATGGAGGTGTAAGGAGAAGGTCAAGTGTGCAGTGTGTGGCAGGTGACTGCAGTGTGGCATGCAGGGGAAGCCCAGCGGGGAGGCCACCAGGATCCAGGTGAGGAGCAGCAGTGTGGCTGTGGAAGGGATGGCTAGTGGATACTGTTATTTAACAAGGGCGACGAGACACCTGCCATGGGACAAGAGCCATCCCAATACCTGGGGACCAACCATGAGCTCTGGAGGTGCTGGGGTTGTAGTGTGAGGCTCAGGGATAAGGAACTAAATAGGCGCCTGTTGGTGAAAGGACCAAGGAAGGGAGCAAATAGATATGAGTGGAGCTGGGGGTGGATGTTGCCTTGATAGGAAGGAAAGATCCCCGACTGGTGACAACACAGGGCTCCATCGAGGTTCTGGGACTTGGTTTCGAGTTAGATAAGGGAAGGTGGCCAGGAACATGAGGCAGGGGTGGCCAAGAGAGGACACCGTGCAGTAGGGTGGAGCTGGGCCTCGCAGGTGGCTGGTTCTGCTGCCTGATCAGGAAGAATGGGAGGCGGCGAGTTCGGGGTGTGGGGAAGATGTGCTCAGGGGTGGACACAGGGCTTCGGTGCCTGTGGCGCCCCCTAGTGGACACACTGGCTTAGGTGCCTGTGGAGCTCCTGGTGGACACAGGGACTTAGATGCCTGTGGTGCTCCCTAGGGAGCTGTCTTGGGGCTGCGGGCTTGCGAGGCCCTCGCAGTGGGGATGTGGGCTTTTCACACAGCGTGAGAGACACTGCAAAACTGAAAGCACCAAACCTCTGCTCCCAGAGAGCACAGAACTCCCAAAGCCACTGAGACTTGTTCTTGGTACCAGGGATTGAACCTGGGGCGCATAATCACTGGGCCACACCCCCAGCCCCGTTTTAATATTTTAAAATTCTGAGACAGTTCTCACCAAGTTAGCCTCACCGAGTTGCTTAGGGCCTGAGTTGGTGAGGCTGGCCTTGAACTTGCAATCCTCCTGCCTCAGCCTCCTGAGCCACTGCGATCACAGGTGTGTGCTACTTCTCCCGGATTACTCAGCAAATTGTGAAGCAGAAAGGAAAAGAGGAGAAAGGGAGCTTTGAAAAGAAACGGCTTTTCCAAAGAATGCTGGAAGGTCAGGATTTCATTTTTCAGGAAGACAAGGACAAGCTGACTTTCAGAAAGTCCCAAATCAGGGAGAGCTGAGAGAAGAGCGTGAGAAGAGGGTCAGTGCCAGGAACTCAGGGGAGGACAGCCAGGCGGTTCCCCACGGGCAGCGGGAGGGCTGGGCTGTGCTGGTGGGCAGCAGAGCAGGAACCTGGGCAGGTCTGGTTTCGGGGGTGATGGGCGGTGCATCCACAGGAGGCGAGATACAGGGCCGCGGGTTGGGGCCAAGAGAGGTCTGAATAGGGACCCTGTGCACCCCAGCTTCTGTGCGTGGAGGACACTCACCATTTCCTTGGATGAACTGTTCAAAGAACTGTTCCAGTGAGTCTGGACTCTTAACAAAGTTTGTCCTGCTCCAGAAAAAATAGCCAGACACAAGAGCATCTCTGGGATTTCTGATGATATAAATCACCTTAAATGGAAACAGGAGAGAATGAACAGTTGATACTGTCATTTCCACCTTTTTTGATCTTTACCTTTATTTATTTATTTGGGTACCAGGGATTGAACTCAGGGGTGCTTAACCACGGAGCCACATCCCCAGCACCCCCCTGTTTGGTTTTTATTTCGAGACAGGGTCTCACTGAGTTGCTTAGTGTCTCACTAAGTTGCTGAGGAGGGCTTTGAACTGGCGATCCTCCTAGCTCAGCCTCCTGAGCTGCTGGGGTTACAGGTGTGCACTAACATGCCCAGATTTTACCTTTAATCTTGAGCTTTAATTTGCATTAAATGTCTCCTAAATATGAATGAAATATTTTCGTGTGTGTCTGGAAATTTAACACAGCGGTGTGCTGAGTGAAGCTACCTGCCATTTTTATTTTTATTTTGAGACAGGGTCTCCCTAGATTGCAGAGGCCGCCTTAAACCTGCAGTCTTCCTGCCTGTGTCCTGGGTTGCTGGGCTCACCAGTGTGTGCACGAGTGCCTGGCTGATTGGATGATCTCAGTGACCATAGTCATTAAAGGGACATGCAGGTGAAGGTTCCTAGGAAATATCACGGTGGCCGGATGGACAAAGGCAAGAGGAACCCCTGGTATGTTCCTTCTCACCATGAGAAGTCTGTGTGCTTTAAGGATTGCCAATGGGGTGATGGATAAGTCATGGCATATTTATAGACATACAATATACAGTCGTTCTCCACCCACGACACACATTCCATTGGGCGAATGAATCCAGATACCTAGGTGCTCACAGCCTGAGTCCATGTGCGGGAATAAAGAACAACCAGAACTAGTCCACACCTGGGCTTGGTGTGCAGTCCCGCAGTCCCTGTGGCTTGGGGGCTTTAGGTAGGAAGATCACAAGTTTTAAGCCAGTCCCACCAAAGTAGTGTGGCCCGAAGCAACTTAGCAAGACCCTGTCTCCAAATAAAAAATAAAAATGGCTGTGGATGTGGCTCAGTGGTTAAGTGCCCTTGGGTTCAATCTCTGGCAGAAAAACACAGCAAAATAAAACTAATTTACAGCTGTAATTAAGCATGGTATTTGCCTTTGTGGGTGGGCACTGACTGAGTGGGCATGAGGGAACTTTCTGGAATGGTAGAACTTTCTGGAACAACTCTCATCTGGAAGATGGTTACTTGCTGCAACAGTAGACTTTCTGGAAAGTAGAAGTGTTCTCATCCTATCAGGAAGATGGTAACCCAGTTGTGTACGTATCATCCAGATAATTATTTTTGTAGATGGACATGGTGCCTTTATTTTTATGTGGTGCTGAGGATGGAACCCAGTGCCTCACATGTTAGGCAAGTGCTCTACCACTGAGCCCCAGCCCCATACCTGAGATAGTGTTTGAGATTCACACACACACACACACACAAAGACACACACACACACACCCCACACACACACTCGGGCAGGATCACTTGGAGTTTGAATATCAGAATTTTGCTTTTCGTTTTGCACCAACTCTCCTGTGCATTATTCAAGGCCTCCGTTTCCCAGCCAGTGATTTATTTGCCAGACTCACATAGACACCTGCAGATAGGTGTAAGGGGACAAATTCATTGTTGCTGCACCCACATGACATTTCCAAGAGAGGAGATGATGATGAGGATGATTTTCATGCTGGGGATTTCCCTCAAGAGCACTGAGCCACATCCCCTTCCTTTTAATTTTTTCATTTTGAGATAAGTTCTCACTGAGTTGCTTAGGGCCTTGCTAGATCACTGAGACTGGCCTTGAATTTGTGATCCTCCTGCCTCAGCCTCCCAAGCCGCTGAGATTACAGCTGAGAGTCACTGTGCCCGGCCAACAGAGGAGATTCTGAGGTGATGTTTCCAGATGTAGTTTAAGTATAGAAATTAAAAAAAAAATCATACACAAATGAATACCTTCCAGCAAACTGTTTCCAAAAACAGCACGCAGTGGCTGGGACCCTGGCTCTCCCTGGTCCTTCTGATCAGCTCTAAGCCCCAGGGAGGCTCACGTGCTGGTGGACGCAGGCCCCTGCTCTGTGCAGCAGGTGGCCATCCTTAGAGAGAGTGGCCAGGCCTCCAGAGCCACCTGGGCTCCCGCAGCTGATATGACCAGCTGATTTCACTATGAGGCAGGAGACTTACTATTCCTCTGTTAGGGCAGCAAAAGTGGGGCAATCTAGTACATAATGCAGCTGTAAATGTAAGGTTGTACTTAAAATGTCATTTTCTAAGATTCTGTTTTTGTCCTTTTACACCAAGCTTTTTTTTTTTTTGTACCAGGGATTGAACCCAGAGGGACTTAACCCTGAGCCACATCCCCAGCCCATTTTTACATTTGATTTAGTCACAGGGTCTGGCTGAGTTGCTTAGGCCCTCACTAAGTTGCTGAAGCTGGCTTTGAACTCTTGATCCTCCTGCCTCAGCCTCCTGAGCTCTGGGGTTACAGACGTGAGCCACTGCACCTGGCTCCACCTTAACTCAGGCTCCAATAACCTGTGGGCCCTCCAGTCCTTGTCCTCAAGCTTGGTTCTAGGTGTGGCAACATGGGCCTCACCGGATGCCCGCGGGTCCCAGTCCCTCTCTTCCTGCCCAATGAGAAGGCACCCCCAGCAGGATCTCTGGGGCTTTGGGGGCAGGTTAAAGTCTAAGAGGCATTTGTCAAGCATTTCTACAGCATCAGGCACTGACCTTGCCCTTGGAAGTGAAGAAGGACTTGGGGAAGAGGTGGAAAGGAAGGTGGGAGGTGAAGAAGCGCGGGTCCTCCGAGTCTCTCTCTAACTGCTCAGCGTACTTTATCTCTATCCAGGGTGAGCGCTTCCAGAAGGGCACTGATTGAACCCACTTGGGGTCCCCGCGTGAGTGAATCAGGCAGAGAATTTCAATCAACCATAGGGTTCCTGGAAAAGAGGGAAAAGTGACGTTCACTCCTTTCAGTGTGACCTTTGAAGTAAAAATTATGGTAAAATAGATGAGCTTTCTGTGATAACCATTTAACATTTTTATTTATTGACTTATTTTTTGCAGTATTAGGAATTTCACCCAGAGACGCTATACCGCGGAGCCCCATTCCCAGCCGTCTTTATTTTTTCACTTTGAGACAGGTCCTTGTTGGGTTGGTGGTGCAGCCTGTAATCCCAGCAGCTCAGGAGGCTGAGGCAGAAGGATGGCAAGTTTGAGGCCAGCCTTAGCGAATCAGAGAATCCCTAAGCAACTTAGCAAGAGCCTATCTCAAAATATCCTGGGCATGTAGCTCAGTGGTAAAGTTCCCCTGGTTTCAATCCCCAGTATCTAAAAACAAAACTACAAACAAACAACCCCCCCCAATCAAAGAATAAAAAATAAAAAAGCAAACAAAACAAGACAAAGACCCTCCCCTCCCCCCCTCAAAAAAAAAAAAAACAAAAAAAACCCTGGAGATAGATTCTCATTAAGTTGCCTGGGACTTGTGATCCTCCTGCCTCAGCCTCCTGAGTGGCTGGGATTCCAGGCATGTGCCGCTGTGCCTGGCTCATGACCACTTTAAAGCATGCGCTCCATAGTGTTGTGTCAATTCCCAAAGTTGCTCAGCCAAGGTCCTGAGCGTTCTCATCTTGGAAAATGGAAACTCTGCTCATGAAGCAGCAGCTCCCCCACCTCTTCTCTTGCCCCTGTACCACCATCCTGTTCTCTGTTGCCATGGACTTGACTACACTAGTAGTTTTCATTTTATGGCGCTCGTCCTTCTGTGCTGAACTTATTTCATTTAGCACGATGCCCTCAAGACTTATCTCCTGGAACACGCGTCAGAATTTTCTTCCTTTCCAAGGCTAACAACTAAAATCTTCCATGTGTCACTCGACCACATTTTGTTTGGGCTCTTTTCTGAGATCCATTTAATATGTTCCCACTGCCCTTGACTTTCCAACCCATACCCCAAGGCCATTGGCCTCAATGCTCACCCAGTTTGCAATTCTCCTGCCCCCAGTCCCCTCACATAGATGTGTAATGCGAGTCCTTTCAGTCCCTTGAATTTTCCAAACCCTTGCCGATTCCCAGCTGTTGTCCGTGCTGACTCCCCTACTCTGCAATACCCACCATATGACTCCATTCAGACTTTCATCTCTATTGAGCGGATATTTCCGTATTATGTGCTCATAGTAATATGAGCTGGGAAGTCACTGGTGTGGGACACTGCCCTTGCTTCCTTGCACCTCAAGACGCCCAGAACATAGAGATTCCCCAGGGAAGTGTAGGGTGCCCTCTCCCACCCCCTTCTCCATACCACCACACAAATGCCTGAATCTGCTTAGGCTTCACTGCTACATTGGCTTCCAATACCTTTGATGATCTCTGCCGAGCACTTATGTCACTCTGTCCTGGTCTGAATGGAAGTGTCCTGGGCACTGCGCCTTTCTCCCCAAAGCAGCGCTCACTGGCGTGGAGAGCGCGGGCCGTCCCTCTACTGAGTGGGTGAGGAACGTCGCCCTGGCCTTTCTCATGGGCGGTTCCTGTCCTGTTTCCTCACCTGATTTGGGGTAAGACACGATTACTGTGTCTTCATCCTTCATCACAAACTTCTCACATGCTGTTCTTAAATTTTCAGTTTGGTACCTATTCGGGAAACGGATCCCTTCGAACCACACACCGTCCTCTGACATGCTGACAGACTGTGCGCGTGGCGTTAGGTCCCAGCTGTAGAGGTCGTGGCAGATGGCGGAGATGGAATTCAGTCTTAAAGTCAAAAGAATCATTAACTTTCCCAACTTTGCAGTGGAATGAATTGGCCGATAAGGAGAAATAAACATTGTGATCTGTGGACGAGAGGTTCCTCGTGTTGAGCAATTGTGAACCCAGCTCAAGGGCATCCTGGGGCCATCTGCTGGTGAGTGCTTGGCAGGAAGTGGTCATTCAAAAAATACACACAGGAAACAAACGTTTAGAAAAAGATTTATATTTCAGAATGTTTTTAGATGTCTTGAAAAATCATAGAGTACAGGAAGTTTCCAAATTCAGGTTTCAGTCAGATTTTTCTTAGTTTTTCCTTGCTCCAAAATCTGAGTGGAGGACTCCGAGGGCTAATGGTTTCAGTGTCCACACTAGACACCAAAGGGCGCTAGGCCCCGAGCGTGCCGTCTACTGACTTTAGGAATATTCCAAGAAATATCTGCTCTCCTCTGCTTCCTGGCTGTTGTGAACGGAGCAGGGCTCCCCGCCCCAAGCCCTTACCCCAGGATGTTCTGCTTCCCTGGGCCCATAGCAGTGGACTCGGCCCACCACGGACTGAACCCCTGGAGCAGTGAACAAGAATAAACTTTTATTCCTCTAAGTTGTTCTTGTCATGTATTTTGCTCACAGCGTCAAAAAACTAACACGTGGGGCTGGGGTTGTGGCTCAGCGGTAGAGCACTCGCCTAGCACATGTGAGGTCCTGCGAAATAAGGTATTGTGTCCACCTACAGCTAAAAATAAAACAAAAAACACCTAACACATGTGCCAATGATCCGTTTTATAAATGGCGGCAGCATGCTCAGGACCAATCTAGTTCTTTACTTTAGAGGGAGAAACACCGGGCCGTAGAGTGGTTAAGGGTTGTACTCAGCCATGCGCTGATCTCTGCCAAGTGGCAGACCTGGGACTGGAACCCAGAGAGGATCACTCCAGAGATGGCTGACAGTGTGTGGAATGGGGGTCAGCAAAAGGTGTCCTCCTCCTGACCTCTGAAACCTCCCAATGGGATCTCATTTGGGAAAGAGTCTTTGCAGATGTCATCAAGTTGAACACCTTGAGAGGAGATGGTGATGGATTCCCTGGTGTCCCTAAATTCAATGACAAATGTCTTTGTGAGGGACAGAAGACACACAGACGAAGAAGTCCTTGTGAAGATGCAGGCAAAGCCCGAGGGGACGCAGGCATGTTAAGGAATTTCTGAAGCCACTGGGCCATGGGAGAGTCCAGGACAGATTCTGCTCTAGAGCATCCACCCTGGAGCACCTGGCACCTTGATTCTGGACTGTGGAGGGGGCAGCAGTAAGGACCTGTTGTTTGAAGTCCCTGGGTTTGTGGTCATTGGTTATGGCAGCCACAGGAAGCTAATATGGTACTCTTAGATTCGAATGGTATGTGGCTTCCTCCAGAGCTGCGAGTGTCCCCCTTAGTTATTGTCCCCCACTTACGCTGTGCAAAGCTGAAGTTGTC